CCCCAAAACCCCAAAACCCCAAAACCCCAAAACCCCTTTTTAGTGTTAAGAAATTGAAATTATTGACATGAGACTTTCTTTATCAACTTTAGGTGTCACGCCAAGCGGTTCTGCCACCTTCTGGAGGAGGCAGAGATCGCTCTTTTCCCTCTTCAGATTCACTAAGACCCTCTCTTTCTATTGTACCATAGTCTTGTGACCCTTGTGGCTTCTGTTGTCTTTCGGCAATAGCATTATTAATATCCTCAATGGTAATTTCGGCTTTGCAAATTGGACAGCAATTCTTTTCTCTTATCCATTGAATAACACATTGTTTATGAAAATAATGAGGGCCAGGACATGGAATCTGGATAACTGGGCCGTTTTCCTCAGAATAATTTTCTAAGCATATTCAGCAGATATCATTGGCCTCAAATCTGCCTCCAGTAACGTTTAATATGTCGATTGTATTAATAAAATCAGCTATTCTTTCATTTCTCTCTGCCTGTTGATTTTCAATTTCAGTTTGTCTTCTGTGGATGTAACACAGAAGAATTCAAATCATTAAAGCAAGAAGGGTGAATAGAACAGCAAAGAATATAAGTATCATTCCCTCAATCATTAGGAAAAGCAGTGCTGCATACAAAAATCCAGCTTCATTTTTGGTGTGATTATCATCTGCAAAAAATCTAATGACCAAATACACCGCCCAAGGAAAATAAAGGAAAAGCAAGAAATAGTAAGTAAGTCGGTAAAGATAGGGCGATATATATCTTTTCTTCATTAATCATATCATCATCATAAGATATGGTATAAATACAGCAACTCTGATTCAAGCAGTGAAGAGCACCAAAAATTTAGCATGAATTCCAATATGTTTCTCATTGACATCTGATCCATAGCACATGAAAAGAAGGCAGCCAATAACCAAATGATATGATATTATCATAGCAGCGTATCAGAACACATCTTTCTCCTACACAAATGTGGTGATTATTGTAAATCCTCTTTTTAAATTTAACCTTTACAAAGAATTTCTTTTCTTCTAATGAATTGAAATTTTAATAGAATGCTATAGAAATTAATTCTTAGCGATAAGCAATTATACCTACCCGATTCGATCTTCTCTGCTCATAAACTTCTGATGTGGACTCCATTAGAGTTTATAAAATATATTATAAACTGAATCTTTAAAGAAGTTTAAAGGGGTTTTGGGGTTTTGGGGTTTTGGGGTTTTGGGGTTTTGGGG